CAATCCCGATGCCAGCCGGCAGAGGAGACGATACCGCACGGCATACAGTCACACTAATACAGTTCTGATTACTGTAATACCGGTACTGTCACACTCAAAACTCCGACATGACTCTGGATACGGTAAGTAGCAACTCTAGTAGAGTGTACAGCCATGGTTAAAACGGCCGGGGCCACACACAGAGTTACAGAGATCAAGTTCAATCAAAAGTCACAGTTTAACAGTTACAGTTACAATTACACTTACAGTTACAGTTAATCAGTAATACAGTTACAGTTGTCTGCGAATCTGCTTACCGTAGCGACATTGCATTCGCACCACCTTGGTGCGAATATTTATTTTCGAACTTTTTTGGATTTCGCACCAGCTCATTAAATAATAAAGATAGTTTTTAGTTTTTCGCAAGATCCGAATTTGTACTGTTTTAGGCCTGTTTTTGCGTGTTTACAGGGTTGATTCGAATTTATTTTGACTCTGAAGTTTCGCATTTTCGCACCAAGTGCGAATCATAGTTTCAAATTTTTCGCAACGACCTAAAATCAATTCATTTAGTGCGAATGGCAATGTCGCTACGGTACATTAACCTTACTAGGTTGAGGTTCATTACGTCAATGCAGAGCTCGGTTCTTAATCGCGGGGGTGCCGCGGACGGAAAACGAGACACAGGGAATCTATTTAAGTTCCAAAGCTACGGTCAAAATCGTCCGTCAAATCGACGGGCCTGGATTGTCGGGCCTGGATTGTGCGGGCCTGGATTGGTACTCTCCCGTTTCGTGAATGCTACCGTACGTAGTGGCACGGGGAATTCGCACCAGCGAATTATATTTATTGTATATTATTACGTAAATATTGTTTGTCGGTTCGCAAACCCGGGTTGAGGCTCACATTTAATACTTGACAACCCTAGCTAGCTATATACTATTATAATACGGGGTGCTTTTGGGCTGCATGAAAGTTTTCGGATCTTTTCGCAACCAAGTCCGTCAAAATTATCTTAGGTGAGAATTCCCGTGCCACTACGGTTGACTCAATGTGAAGGGCCCAGATATCAATACGGTGTCGTATGTATATCCGTACGATGTTGTCATCACCGGTTTCCTAGATTCCTATCGATGTCAGTGTGGGACATTGCGGCCGCAGTGCCAGCCCACCCGACCGTGACCATCTCAGAGTCAGTGCGAAGCGGCCCCGCACGGCCCTGCCCAGTGCCAGCGTCACTGGCACCCACCGGTTGTCGCTGCTCCGGCCCGTCCACCGGTAATGATCAGTGCTTGGGTTTGCCAGGCAGTCGACACATGACCCGTGGCGGCGTGGGCCGTCACGCGCCCAACAGGACCGTCAGCGTACGGGATGCCACCTGGCCAACTCAACCGAGGGCCGTCGGCGGAAAGACAACGTACATAACTGGCAACCGGACGAGTCAAATGAGGGGCGTGCATAGGGCGAAAGGACGACGGAATCACCCGGCATAGGTACCCTACTGAAGTCGGGTACCCCTTAATACTGCCGGATCAGGTCCTGTCAAACGCTGCGCACGGGAAGATCGAGTACCTACCTTCTGCAAATTGATATCGGATCCGATTGCCACCGGGGATTTGCTCGTGGCCCAGCTGCCCAGGATCGTCGCGTCCCACTAGGGTGTTAGGATCCTAGATCTCACCGCCCCCGGCACTTTTCGTCGGATTTTGGGGTAAAACTCAAGAATATTGGTGGGTTTTTGTCAACCAAAAGCTGCTAACTTGCATGCAATCCAAGCCAGTTAAGGTCACAAACTGCGGCGGCATTCCATACTCAAAAGTTCAAGTTGGCGCAAATCCCGGCGGCCCCAGTCTATTAGCGGTAACGGTGCCAGGGTGGTCACAGGAGCTGCAGGACCACACACAATTTAACCAGTGGCAGCAGAAATCTGCCCGAACATTGACCCCTCTCGACTACCCAGTTATGAATCTGATATTGATAACTCGACAAGAACATGCTAGGACTTTCTAGGTCCAAGATTTGGGGAATAACGCAGAGAAACGACCATAATACCGTACGACCAAGGTATGATGATTCCGAATGCTCAAAAAGAGCAATTATTTTAGCGAATGCGAGGCCAAATCATGTATTATTTTCCACTTTCCGACCCTAAATCCGAATCGCTGAGAGGGTACCCCGGTACCCTATTGTTAGAGGTGAACAGTGGCAAAAGGTACGTACCGAATGCTCAGACGGCTTAGAAATCACTTTCCGAATGCATTTTAGCAATTAATTTCGGTTTCCGAAAAAGCAGAATCCGACTCCTTATCCGGAGTTTCCAACTTTCCGAATGCAAATAATTATTTATTTATTCGGAATCATACCTTGGTCGTACGGGTAGGAGGTTTGCAGCCGGGTGGCAGGACCACATTCCTTGAACGTAGTGTCTTGGCTGCGTTTTCGTTTCTGCAGCTCGGTAAGATGTACAGATGACTGAGATGTGTAGAGGCAAACCCAGCAGAAGAGGGAGCCGTTTTGGGGTTTAGGAAGGGCAGACTGTGTGGGCAAGGTTTTGCTACATGGGTGGCTGGCTCTTTCTAGCGTCCTTTCTAAACAAGTGCATAGCAGTGTGCTTCACGATGGACGTGCAAGGCGAGCTGACTAAGGACTTTCTTTAGGAAGTTGGTGAAGATGGTGGTGGTCGTCTAGGTTGAACCTTTTCAAAAGTGAAGCTGCTTGTTGGGTCCCGCACATGATGCAATGATCTGTTCAGATTTGCCTCACACTCAGGAACTTCAAGTCATTGACTAGCTTTTCTTAGGAGAAACAAATAAGCCGCAGCTTCTACTAGTAGCTGGGTCCTTGTGCTGAGGGGCATGGAGCATTTTGTTGGGCAGTCACAAACATTGCAATGCCTGGTGGATGCCTCTTCGGGCAGGTGCCGGGTGGCCAGTGCAGGCCTGAGGGATGCCCTGCATTGCAATGGAGCACAAGAGCTGCCGGAGGTGAGTGTCTCGCAGGGCTGAGTATGAATTCCTGAAGGAGGAGTTCTGGTATGCTAAATACTTGTGGTCAGCTCTGAAGTCGTTTCGTGATGCTTTTTGATGCTTGAAACTGTTCTTTGTGTTGCTTTGGTGATCTAGTGAAGAGAGCTTGTACATCTCGCCATTGTGAGAAGTGCATTCTCTAAGCCTGTGAAGCACATTGTTGCCTATTTGGCTTGGTTGTTGTCTGCTGGTCTCGACCGTGACAGACGGGCTTGTAGATGGTCAGGACATGATTCATTGCCTGGTCCCTTTGGGTACTTTTGATAGCTTCCAAAACTTGAGGACATGAAAGTCTGGCAGTTTCAATAATAGGACTTGGCTGAAGCCCATGAGACATTAGACACGCAAGAGTCAAGGGAGGCAACAGCGGCTCAAGTGTTCCTTCTCTGCAGATCGCTCTGGCAGCCGGCCTGCTGCCGTCTCTCTCTACCACGCAGTATGCAGACCTGGTTGCGCAGCTGCGTTCAGGCAAACAGCGCGTGGTGCGCTTCTGGTCAACGCTTCGGGCTGGGGGTTTCAGTTGCGCCAAAATGGGTAACCTCAATGGGACCCGCGCAAGGAACGGCTACGTGGGCCAGGAGGAGCTGGATGCCAGCATGGGGAACTGCAGCCTGACTGACTCGACCGGAACGCACACAGAGCCCTTGCGAGGAGACGACAGCAGAGGAGGCGCGCCTACTGCACCGTCCTTGGCTGAAGCTGCAGCGCAGCTGCAAGTCATGGTAGAAATGGAGCTCTGTCGAGTGGCACCTGCCAGGGGTGCTGTGGGTGCATGTAACGGAGTGGCAGGGCTGAAGCTGGAGCGCTGTCTCGTGCTTGTGCACTTCTCGCCTGTGCCCGACAGAGCAGAGCCCGACCGGGTAGCGCAGCTGGAGGCCCAGGTGCTGGCGTTGCAGGAGCATTACACGTACATGATGGACCTGCTGCCAGGGGTAGCCTGCACAAAGGACGCGCAGGTGAGCAACAACATAGAAAGTGTGCCCACTGCAGCTGTGCGGCCAAGAATGGGTCCTAAGGAGGCTGCTCATGGTTCCTTGCTGGGCCCCAGAAAAGTCGGGGCCCTCCTAGCTACACAGGTGCGAAAAATCGATGGGTTTTGGCATTACAAGTATTTGAGACAGTACACATGCTGAGGAATGAGGAATGACAGAGAGACTCAAAGTTTAAGTCCGAGTCAAAGCACTGATGAGAAGAGCTCTGTTGACCCCTTATGACCGTCGGACTCTACTAGTTGGGACTCGGCTCCTCGCCCTTGTCTTTGTCTCATGCATTTCCCCTTTTGTGCAGGGCTGCTACACGATGGTGAACCGTGCCATGTGCGAGCAGCTGGGCCAACCGCGCGAGGCGCTGCTGGGGCGCAGCTTCGCTGAGGTCGTTGGGGGGACGCAGGACGCAGAGCTGGTGGAGACGCTGAAGCGCGACGACCACGTTGTGCTGGAGACGGGCCAGCCGCTTGATGTTCCCGACCTCTTCCTTCAGCCGACCAACAGCCAGGGCGGCCGCTGGTTCCGCCACGTCAAGAAGCCATACACCACAGTGGACGGCCAGCAGGTGAGCACGCCAGGGGTGCAGACCCAAACGGGACTAAGCACGGGGCAGACACCCCTCACGTAGCCTCAACGCGGGCGGCTCCCAGGATGGGTGACACAACCCTGGTAGTACAATTGGTTTATGCGCCTGTACTCCTTGACTGTGCTTTTATGTTGGGGGTTTTATGCCAGTATATCCCGGTTTTTACATCTGAAAACTGCTTTTCAAACCCCAAAGTAGAGTGAGAAGAGCTGCACTGCATCCATTTGCCAGCACCTTGCTTCAACAAGTTGCCGGCAGTTTCACTCAACCGTTCAATCGAACTTCCACAGGATAGCAGTTTAAAAAGCTGAGTGACTGGCCACCGCTTTAACTGTGCTCTACCTGCCTAGTGTAGGGACCCAAGGCGCAAACACTGGTGTTATTCGTGGTCGTGCTAACTCTTCTTCTCTCCTTGGCAGGGCGTGTTTGGGTTTGCGACCGACATCACGGAGCTGAAGGAGCTGCTGCTGCAGGCACAGATCGCGGAGGAGGAGGCGCTGGAGAAGCAGCGGCTGCAGCTCATGGTGGACAACATCAACGTGAGCGCCATCCAAGTCGACCGCTCGGGGGATGCTGCTGACCCGCGCGTGTTCATCAACTCGGCCATGGAGCGCCTGGTGGGCTATTCCCAGGAGGAGGTGCCCACGCTGTTCGCCTGGTTCCGCCTGCTGCACCAGGATCACGACGGCAGCCAGCTGGCGGCGTACCAGGAGCGCATGCGCCTGCTCAGGGTGAGGCGCCGGCAAGACACTGCTTGATTCACAAGTATCTGGAAATGGTGAATGCTGACATTTTCTGGACAGGGGGACTGACGGGAAGCGTCTACTTTTGTTGAGGAGCTAAGTCAAGTAGGTGCCCATTGCATGCAAAGCACCAGGGAGCATTTCGTTTGGACACTTTATTCTGGCTTTGTCGTTGCTTCGGTTCTGAACCGTAAGCTTTTCCCCCTTTTTCAGGACAGCTCCATCACCACTCCCCCAGTCCGACTGACCGAGCTGTATCGGAAGGACGGCAGCAAGCGGCTGTTCGAGTGTGGTGGCGGCACCCACCCCCAGGGTGAGGTCTGGGTGATCCACGACATCACAGAGCGCCACTCCGCGACCGAAAAGTTCGAGACCATCTTCAACATTGCGACCGACCCCTACCTCGTCTTCTCCGACTCCTGGTTCCTGGAGTGCAACGCGGCGGCAGTCGAGTATCTGGGGTACGAGAGCAAGACGGACGTCGTTGGGCGCTACATCCTGGAGTTCAGCCCCGAGTTCCAGTCCGACGGGCAGCGCTCCGCGGACAAGGCTGCGGCGCGGCTCAAGGCCACCAAGGAGACGGGCAAGGTGGAGCGCTTCGAGTGGGACCACATTCGCGCCGACGGCGTTCCGCTGCCGACGGAGGTGTCCATCAAGGCGCTGAGCCTGGAGGGGCGCCAGGTGTTCATTGCCATCTGGCACGACCTCAGGGAGCGCAAGGCGGCCGAGGCGGCGCTGCGCGCGGCCAAGGAGGAGGCTGAGGCGGCGTACGCGGCCAAGAGCCAGTTCCTGTCCAACTGCAGCCACGAGATCCGGACGCCCATGAACGGCGTGATCGGTGTCGCGGAGCTACTACTGGACACACCGCTGAGCGCGGAGCAGCGCGGGTTCGTGGAGACAATCCGGGGGTCGGGGGACCACTTGCTCAAGCTGATCAACGACATCCTGGACCTGGCCAAGATCGAGGGGCGCAACCTGCAGCTGGAGACGCTGCCGTTCGGCCTGCGCGGGGAGGTGCACCAGACGCTGGCGCTGCTGGACCGCGGCGCGCGCGACAAGGGCCTCGCGCTGGGCGTCCACGTCAGCGACGACGTGCCGAACGAAGTGGTGGGGGACCCCATGCGGCTGCGCCAGATCCTGCTCAACCTGCTCAGCAACGCGCTCAAGTTCACGGACAGCGGCGGGATCCAGGTCGCCGTGCGGCTGGTCGGGGAAGGGGCAGCCGGGGTTGAGAGCTCAAACCAAGCTGAAGGAGGCTCGAGGGGCCTGAAACTGGAGAGGCAGAAGTCGGATGCAGCGCGGCGAAGTGGAGGGGTTGCGAATGGAGTGGGGACGAGCAGGCCGCTGGGTGAGGCCGGTCCGGAGGAGGCGGGCGTGGCGCTGCAGTTCGAGGTGCGGGACACGGGGGTGGGCATCCCGGAGGAGGCGCAGGAGCGCATCTTTAAGGCGTTCATGCAGGCCGACAGCAGCACCTCGCGGCGCTACGGTGAGCAGCGGATATGGCTGCTCTGTCGAGCGTTCTCTGACAAACAGCGGGTTTTCGGGGCGCGTCAATTGTTGTGTTGCATCATGGCTGGTCGATTGCTGGGGGACAGAGAACGGGACGCAACGACAATTTAAGTTCTGTTTTCAGCATCCGACAACGTAGCGGTGCCTCAAGGCAAGGAGCGGTTTATGGCAGTCTGCGACGTAGTCGTCAAGCCCCGTGTTTGCTCCTGCGCATCGGGTGGCGTTTCTGCCGTGCATCCTGTCTGTCTCGTCGTCGTAGTAAGCCCTGCTAAGGCTTGCCGACCCGTTCTTTGCAGGGGGCACCGGCCTGGGGCTGTGCATCAGCCAGAGCCTGGTGCACGCGATGGGAGGGCGGATCTGGTGGCGCAGTGCGGTCGACCAGGGCACGTCCTTCTTCTTCACCATCCGACTGGGGCTGCCCGCCCCCCGCGGGGGGCCTGAGGCGCAGGTGAGGGGAACGTGCTACTACTTGCAGAGTATCACCTGATGCGCGGTATGACTGTCTGCTCAGGTAAAATGCTCCGGCGGAGTAGCTCCTCTGGTTGCTCGAGGCAAGTGTTGCGTCCAAAAGGTTACCCTGAGAAGGAAAAGAGTTTTCGACCAGCAGGCGGCATCGGTCGATTTTAGTAGACGTTTCTCTAAGTGATTAGCACCGGCTATGGGACATTCTGGAAGCCGTGTGTCTCAGTGTCCGGGTGCTCTGTCGTCCTGTTGACTGGCTTTTCTCTCCCTTCCCTCGCTTGACTCACGCTCCATACTCATGGCTAAGCTGACCGTTTCGAAGCGAGAAACGCGAGCCACCGATTCTTGCCGATTCTGTCTGACCTGAGTTTTTTTTTCGGTGTGCCAGGCCCCATCCGCAGAGGCCGCCAGCGCATCCAGCGGGAGCGCCCCGCTGCTTGCCGACCCGTCTACTGTGGCCGGCAGCCTGTCCCCGCTGCGCATCCTGACCAAGGACACACTGCGCAGCCTGCACGTCCTGGTAGCAGAGGTGAGCACACTGCAACAACACGCCCACCAAGAGGAATCGAGACGAGGCCCCATCGTTTTGTCAGCGAAGATGAATGCCCTGTGTTCTTGGCTGCTTTTCTGTTCAATCTCACTTGGAACGCTGCCCAATCCTGACTTTCGAGGGCCCGAGTCTTGCGCTTTTCTCGAGAACAACCCTTTGAGCAGAGGCGTATGGTTGATTTGTCGTCAGCTGAGGGCTGTGCGAGGAGTTCCGTCGGCTTGTGGCCGGTGCGCTTGCTGCTAAGTGCGTTCGTCTGTGAGGATTGTGAATGCCAAGAAGTGCCACGTGCCGCTTGCCATGCTGACGTGGACTGCTGGCCTTGCAGGACAACACGGTGAACCAGATGGTGGCCAGCCGCATTCTGCGGAGCCTGGGCTGCGAGTTCGTGGTGGTGGACAACGGGCGAAAGGCGGTGGCGGCGTGCCGCGAGGGCCGCTTCGACGTGGTCCTCATGGACTGCCACATGCCGGAATTGGTGAGAGCGCACGAACCAGCCAGGATCGGATGCACGGGGCTTGGTTGTCTCTTACGAGGGACGACGTTTATTAGATTCAGGTTGACAAGCTTGTCAGCGTGGCGTCGAAACACAGGTCCTGAATCGAGATTTGAAGGAAAGGCAAGCGCCCCTTCTTATGGAAGCTCTGTCTGGCACATACCTATGCCACGAGGGTTTGGCAAGACAACTGTAACGAATCGGAGTCCGTTCTCAGGTCTTGTTTATGCCAGTCTCATGTTGCGCTGCCTTTGAAGCCGGTTCTTCCTCTTCGCAGGACGGGTATGAGGCCACTCGTCAGATACGGATTGACGAGCTGACGCACGGCCGGCGGCACCTCATCATTGCCCTCACTGCGTCCGCCCTGGAGGACGACGCGCAAAAGTGTTTGAGAGCGGGGATGGACAGCTTCCTGTCGAAACCGGTCCGCCCGAACGACGTCAGGGCAGCCATAGAAGGTCATTTAGCGACGGCCAAGGTGGACTGTCTCGTGTCTCCTACATCACCCTTGACGCGCAGGTTGGATTAGAGCGAGCCTAGGCTGGGGTTTACGAGTGTGCTTACAGTGTATAGCTTCGATACCGCGGGTTGAGTTAAAATCTTGTGCTAATCTCCATTAGCAACCTAGAACAAAGCGCAGAGTGCAGCTAGCAGTCTGCGCGAAGAGTTCCCGGTCCGTTTGGTGTGATGAGCTCGTCATACCAAACGTGACTTGGTTGCGTTTGGGCAGCAACAGCTTTGTATGCATTGCTAAGGCTCAAGGCAAGAAACAGTGGCAGAACTTATTTGAAAACGGTCAACTGGAACGCCAGTTTCGTGCATGTCGCTGCATCATAGGACAAGGTATAGGGGTTGTAAGCGGAGTTTGAATGCAGGCTTAGTGCATGTTGAGGGGCCCTGAGGGGCAAACTGACTTGAGCTACTAGTCTGAAATTGGGATTGACAGTCACAGGTCCGAATCAGATGTTTGAAAATCTATCAAGATTGTGTCAACTTAGGTGCTTTGTATTTGCATTCACAGGCTTCGTCTGCTGTCTTGCAGTCAATAAGCATTGACCCACTAGCTCAGCTTTGCATAGATCTGCTCCAATTGGCACATGCCACATAGGCGTCATGTTTATTAAAGCTTCCTCGATTGAGCTGACTCACTCCTTGGTTGCTGGAAAGAGAACATCTTCCCCCTGAGTGATGCACCTCACTAGGTTTGCGAGCTCCAAGGCTTCCCAACCTCGTCGCAATGTAACAACAAACAGAGCCCAAATGATTTCTAGATCTCAATTGACTACTATATCACATACGCCAGCTAGAGCGGCTCATACAAACGTTTGATATCAGTGATGGCGCTCACTAAATCGATCGGATCGAAGCGAATTAATTTGCATGGATTGTACTAACGAACCGCGGCGGCGCGAGTGCATGACTGCAAGGCATGCCAGGCCTCTGCGTGCCATGCCCGGACTCAGCTGTGTATACTTGAATTCGGGGCTCGAGATCCATGTGAAAAGCAGAAAGCTAGTGACTGTCAGAATTGCCTGCGGCTACAGCTCGGTATAAGGACTCCCATGGCACATACTAACTTGAACTAGAGCATGCGTCACTATGCTAAATTGCATGCGTGAACCAACTAGAAGGTCCTCGCCCCAACGCGGTGCATGTGGATTCCGTTGACCCCGGCCATCAAAAAACCGCGTGCTCCACGGCCATGGCGGCTGTAGCGGCGACGGTTGATAAATCTGAAAATACCATCAAATTCATGCATTGCCAGGATTTCGTTGATATGGAAGTGACCATCATTCATGCATCCAGATATTAACGAAAAGGTGACCGTGATCCGATCTGAGGGTATTCTTCTAGATTACAATCTTCATGTATTCTTTGTCTTCTTTGTCCATCATACCGTCCCATGTTTCTAGTTGACCACCAAATATAATCTGCTTAATGCCCACGTAACTGCACGGAGGAGGCAAAGTCTTTTCAGCGGATCAGTAAACAGAGAAGGAAGCTCCTTCGAGAGAAGATTGACAGAAACTCGAATAGGAAGCAGACAATCCACAGTTGCAGGATCCAGCGGGCTAGTGCCCTTCATAAGATCCACGTGCCAGATTAGACGCACAAGATCTGAAGTGCTACCCAAATCATTTGAAGACCTTGCACGCACAGCGCACGCTGTCAGGTAAAACGGCCAGGCTCGCATCGAGAAGGGATAGGGCACGCACTCATCACTAAACTTCAAGAGCGCGTTGAGCAGAACGTCCAGGGCTAGGGCGTCCGACGTGCCCAGATCGATCCTGCAAACGAAGTGACCCAAATCAGCGGTGAGGACATGACTCCACGCTCGACTGGACTTGCGAATAGCCACTTCGACTCTCCTATAAGATAAGACTTTTTGAGGGAAACCCTAAAACAATAAAACCCTAAAACCCTAAACGAAAGTCCAGGCTCCGGAATTTGACGGTAATACAGACGTGGCGAGGGCAATGAAGTCATTGAGATTACTGATGGAACGACTGCTCGCAAGGCTGAGCAAGCAGCAAAGAAAGGATGGAGATAAGAGTCTGCGAAAAAGGCTTGTTGAGAAGCGCAAGATGGTAAGGCAAGTGAGAGAGACCAGGGCCGGCATCGCCTCCATCTCATGGTTAACTGTGTCGCAAAAGGACATTCGGCTACTTTACTAAATCAAAGGTAGACACATGCCGAGGAACGACTAAACGGGGGTCGTTCAATAGGTCTCTAGTGCAAAGCTCTCAGAAGACGAGTGGGGCCACGTTGAGGACACAACATTTTGAAACTCAGATTGAAAGGCATAGATAGAGTGCCTCGGTGCGTCAGCTTTGCACGAGGAAAAGACTTACAGTCACCTATCCAGAATGCAATCCTAGAGTAAAGCAAAGCAAAGCAAAGCAAAGCAAAGCAGACCTCCCATAAAAACAAAGCCGATGAAAAACGACAATCAGAAGAGCCCAGGGGATCAGGACAATGATCGTAATCATGCGCGCAGTCGGGGGCCACCGCTGAGTGCCCAGCCCTCCCTCGGCACATCGCTGACCAGCCGACATCTGTCTCCTCAGCACACGCTATGCTGGAGGGGTAAAAAGATCGGCCGTGGCCCGCAGCCACTGGGCTGCGGGCAGAATTAGGGTCCTGTTGGGCTGCTTGCGAAGACAGTGATCCATAGCTTACGAGCACCGCTGGGGTACAGCCCACGTGCCAAGCGAGGGGCGAGCAGCGGGTGCGGAGCCGTGAGGCTGCGCTCAGACCTTTTACCGAAACATCATCTCCCCCGGGGCAAAACACGGCTTTCAAAGCCAACCGAACCCAGTTTTGCTACCAACAACAAAGGCGCGGTGTAGACGATGTCGCAATGCGAGGCAACAACTGTAAAGAGGTCTGCGCCAAAACAATCTGCAGATGAGACAGGTTCCATGGACAGGCAATGCGAGGACATAAAGTCGGAATACGAGGCGCGAAAGCCTCCAGAGCACTTCGCATTCGAAGCGGCAACCAGTGGCACCCACCGCTTCACACAAGCATCAGGTCACACCAGTCGAAGCAGTCAATCTGCTGCGTGCGTCTCTTGACAAGCTTTCCGACACGGAACCCACTATGACAGCAGAGTCATTCAAACAGATACAGTTAACGAAACGAACTACGAAGGGATCCATGCTCGTAGCGCTCGGAATCAGGAACGGTAGATATGGTCAAAGAATATCATTCTTGCGAAAAAAAGGCACAACAGAAAGCCAGGATTTTTCCACCCAAGACGGGACCTTCTCAAACCAGAGAAACACCTGATTGCGAAATGCCCGTGTTGACTTCGTCGCAGATCGATGCCTTCACCAAGTCGACCGGGGACGAGGAGCGTGCTGATGTGGACAAATGAATAACCACCCATGCTTGCTCAATCATCCGCAAGAGCAGCGGCGCGGGTCCGCTCACCAGAGCTTTCCCCACTCGTTCTGGAACTCGAGGTCCCCGATGTTGTGCAGATACGTCTTGAGCATGACCTTGCTCTCCCCCGGTGCGGGCCGCGTGTCGTACCGGATGGCGCTGGCCTGGTTCTTCTCGTCCTTCTGGAGGTCCAGCAGCTCCTCGCGGTCGGACACCTGCGCACCGTGGGGGGCCGAGCCCGTCAACGGACGAGAGGACTGTGACGGGGGGTGAAGCGGCCAATCTGGTGAGCATCAGAACTTCACGGTTCAGGGGAGACAGTAAGAAACACCGTCGCTTGATCAGAATCTAAAAAAGTACAAAACTGACTGTTCTCTAAAAGCTGCTGCAAAGTGCAGACAACCACTCGAAGCAACCATATGGGGCCTTTTCTCAGATGATAAGTGTCGGCTCGCCATGAGGTGAATGGAAAGCATGTAAAGTTTCCTCCTACTTGCGAAGTCGGTGAAGTCATTACGTGCTCCACACAAACTAGCCAGACTGGACAACTGGGGATGTCCAATCCGTGAAGTAAAGAAAACTAAGCACCGCAGCCGGGGCGCTGGGAAATACTCAGCAGAGAAGATCAACAGGAAACCCACCTGAAGGTTGGCAGAGTTATAAGCGCCGATCTTGCCAAGCATGTACCACGATCGGAGGATCTGCACCGCAGGCAACAATGTTCAATCAGGTTCGGCAGCACCGTCGAACTAAAGAAGCGAGGGGAGAGGAACCAGTGGACAGCAACTGCGAGCGAAAAATCGCGAGTTCCAAGATTGACACTCGGCACTCGGACAGGCTTCGGCAGGCTGTAAATTGTTTGCAATTCTTAAGCATCTTGACGTCTCCAAACATCAAGAAGCTATCAGCACTGCATTGGAAGAGTGCTCGACATTCATCCTACCCCTGCGAGAAGGTCGGCGTCGTCGTCGGAGGGCTGCTTGTACAATTGTATCCAGATATTCAAATCAAACGGATCAAAACTGCAGACAACATAAACGCGTTCAGAACAAGACCTTACGAGACGAAGTTCCACCAGTAAATCGACAAGATCCACTGTCATCCTCCGGTGATTGCACAAATACCTCCCGGACTTCAACAACACGATCATCAACACAGCTACGACCTACCTGCCCTGGCAAACAAGCCAGAACCTGATGCTCAGCGCAGACGGGAATGCAAGAGAAAGAATCCTGCATCACCACTGCGCCACTAGAGTGGCTGGGAGACAGGAGCAAGACCACTCTCGTAGGTTCGCTTGCATTGGCGGTGTGCGGGTCGAGGAGGTCCCCAGCTCACTTTTTGAAGACAATCTGCGGTGGCTCCGCAGCTCCTGTCTTCTCTTGCAATATTTCGGACTTGTTCTTTGATAGCCGCTCCTCCATCTGCATATCCACCAGAATTGCAGACCGGTCAAAAGATGCTCTTTCAAATGGCTGGCCTTGCCACGAAAGGAGTATGAGGAAGTGGCAGGGTCAAGCAAGGCGACAGCAATTGTATGCGAAGCGCCGTGCATGGTGCTCCTGCCATGCAGAAAGACTTGGGAGTGACAGCCTTCCTCAATACGCTGTTGCTTTCACGGAAAAACTGGAAAAAGTTCCACCGGCATTGCAGGCTTCACACAGGGTCTGCACCTACCCTGGCCTGCATCTCTTTTGGGTCATCGAGCGCGCCATCGAGTAACTTCGCAATTTCGTCGTCATTCTTAGCTGCGTCCCGATATGCTCTGCAAACAATGGCACCAAGACTCAGAACCTGACGACAAGTTGTCAGAACTAAACTGCCACACTGTCTAGCCTGGTGGCTACACAGTTTCGTTACTGCAGAAAACCAAGCATCTATAACAAAAGCTTTGGACAAAGACAAGGATGCAAAGGGATCGCTGACTCCTCATTACAATCTCTGACTTCGCAATCAAGCAAATACTTTGACAGCAACCGAAGGAGCTCACGTTCACCGTAGGATGGGTCTGCACTGTCTGTGGCAGTCTGCCTCTGAGGCCCAAACACAGATAGATCTGCAGATATTGGGTCATCAGACCATGAACACCCAGAAACAGAAGCGATAGCCACGGGCACAATGGAAGGACATCGTGGAAGCCCCACAAGGGCAGAATGGCTCACTGTGCCCATTGTGGAAACTCCCCTTCCTTGAACTCCGTCTGTGTGTACATGTACTCGTCCCCGTCCTTCAAGTCCTGTCGGCTTGGGACTCGATACTCACCCACGTTCCTCTCCGGCTGGTCCTCATCACGCCAGCTCACGGTGCGCCGCTGCCGAAACTCCTCCCCCCCCAGGGCTTCCAGCTGCTCTCGCAGCCGCTTCTCCACCGTGCTCATCGGCTCCTCCAAGATCTCTGGGTTCTCAGCGGTCCCCAGCCTGCCAAACAACTCGCCCCACACTGTGTCAATAGCAGGCAGACTAATCGGGCCCCACTAGCTCAAATTGCCTTTGTTTGCAAGCAAGAACGTCACTTTTCTTGACCATGTGCAGGACTCTACACGATTTATTGACTGAAAGAAAATCCAATCCCACCACCATTCACTGGAAATCTTTCAGCGGCCTCCAAGTGATCAAGGAAGCGGCCTTCAGATTCTGCTGCACTCAAAACAGTCAAGCAGATTGGCCGCACCATTACCAACAAACATCATTCTATGAGCAACTTTCTTATGCTACAGGACAAAGAGTCTACTGCAGGTAGAGGCAAGCACGTGCTGTAAATAGTGATCGCCTGACAGCTAGCAGTTCGACAGAACCTTGCCTTGGTTCTTCACTTCCTGCAGCATCCGATGCTTCTCCTCGCTTCAACACCACTCTTTTGATGCCTTCGCGCCGCCGTCTCTCCCGACCTTCTTTGCCACTATTGGAACTGCCTCCCCCTGCTTCCATGCTGCCAGCCCCTCCTCTACCACTCTTTCTATTTCTCCTCCCTCGACAAAAAAGTGTGTGACACTCAACCTCAAATATATCGGACCAAGGCTGACCAGCATTGTATGTTGCCTTTGTTAAGACAGAGGATTCCGGCACAAAAGCTTTGCACAGCGGCACATGTGCTGTGGCAGAACACCGTTTTTCCAACGAACTGGAAGCGGTCTGCACGATTACAGGAGCTCTCAATTTCGAGGAAAAGGCAGCCTTGGAGAGCGCCATGTCGCAAAAGAAACGAGCAGTCCTCAGCTCAACCAGTGGCAGACGTATGGAGAGTGCCTGCCTAGCTATCCGAGCATCCTGTACTGTAGCCTGCACAGCATTCTGTGAATACCGGTACCCAGGGCCAGACGTTCGGAGCAGGCCGCCAGTTCCTGTTGAAACTAGTGAACATGGATTGACACCCTAGAGGCAGTGCAACCTTCAACACCTACCGGTGTTGATTCAAAGCTTTTACGGTACCGCACGCGCTGGTCTGGGCTTCGGCTGGGCCTGGGCCCTGGGGCTTCGGGGCTTCAGGGCTTCGGCTGGTCTGGGCTTCGCGAGCGACCGTCAGCGATCACAGCGATCAGCGATCACACATGAAAGCGAAATTTTCTGGCCGGTGACAGATTTCGACGGCTGTTTGGCCGGCTGCGGACTCGGGTCGATCACACATAGCGACCATCAACTTCTGGTCGGTACAGCCGTCGAGCTGTTTTGGCGATGGCCAAATCTGGGACGTCCGATGACCGTTAAACAAGGAAAGTCTTCCAGGAACCGAGCAACTTTGCTTGATATAACCTGCCAGAGTGCATGAAGACTCCGTGCTTATGGTATGCCCAAAAGTTATTTTTTCTCTCCGAATATGTGTCACAGCTTATTACCACCTAACAGGTTTGTATCCCCGGGAGATTGAATCCAAGACCCATAACCCAAGTCCTGACAGGTCTATGATGCCCATGTTCCCCGTGATCATGTCAATTTTAACCCCACTCAACTTATCTGAACACCGGTCATTTTTTTATATCCGTCCCATATCCGTATACTCTGTGTTTTGTGATTATAAACACCTATATGAGATTCACATATGCTCTTCAGCCTGATGATGATGTCGGTAAAACACAACCCGCGACGGCAAGGTTTTGCCCCGGGGGAACATGTTTGCCACGTAGGCTTCCTCGACAGTGACGGCAGTACCGACCGTCGCCGGCCGTGGCCGACCGACAAAAGTATGGCAGAAATTTTCTGGCCGCCGTCGACGGCCAGAATGGCCAGAACTGGCGAAAATCGCCGGCCGGAAGTTGGTTTTCCGGCATGTGTGATCGTTGTATGATGATCAGTGATCGGCCACCGGTTCTTATCCCGTCCAGGGTCAACTGCAACTGCGCCGGTTACTTGATCCTGGCGGGCCCCGGGGTGCAGCATGAGTGGCGCGGGGCGGCCACGTTTAGTCCATTACGTGCCTGCAGGCATGCCGCAGCCTGGCTGCGATCGGATGCCGCAGCTTGGAAGTCACGGAGGTGCGATGCTCACCAGCAGCACTGAGCCTTCTCTTTGCTAGCTTATACCGTCCAAGTTGCAGTGGAAATTTAAGAACTGCTCAAATAATGCTCCTTTCGTGGTCCGTTTAACACTGTATCTAGTATACAGTGACCAATGCGATCCGGGCATTCTCTGAGTAATTCGAGGCTCCAAACAATACGCAATCTGGTGCGCATTCTGTGTGAGCAATGAAGTACTAACGCATGCACTAGTAATCTGAGGCACAGCCTCACCATCGCAGGCCACTATACGGAGATAAGGATCGCACATGCGCTACAAACAAGGCTGTATTGCCATGCCGCTAACCAATCCACTGCCGAACCATGCATGCTAACCGAAGTGACAAAGCCGTACGTATTGCTCCCATGCCGACTCGAACCTAACTCTGGATAAAGACTAGCTGCCATATAGTGCATCTGATTGCGGACGCTTCAAATGTTCTAGACGGGCAGACCCAAGATTCAATTTTGCAGTCAATCGGTAAATTTATTACGCAACCACACAAGCGCCACTGCCCGGTTGCGAGCCCATTCGTACTATCTGCTCAAAGGTCTGTGAAAGACTCCTACGCCCGCCACAAATCAGATCAACCCTGAGAAACATTCTATGTTCAACTCCACCTAAGACTTCCGACTTCCAAGAGAGTTTCTAAAGTAGGTCTAAGGTGCAACGCGCTGTCCATAAATCACCTTGTATGGTCCGAGGATGACTAGCTTACACTGGGCGTATAGTGTTACTCAGCCGCCTTGGTTGCCGAAACGACCTGCTTCGGCCGGACCTTCTCAGCAGGCTTCTGCTGCTGCGGCGGGGGGGGCTTGCTGGGCGGGGCCGCTTTTGCAGCCGAGACTTTCTTGGCTGGTGTCAATGCTGCCTCACTGTCGGCCTGGGTCTTCTCGGCGGCCGACAGTTTCTTGGCTGCCGTCACTGCTGCTTCAGTGTCGGCCTGGGTCTTCTCGGCGGCCGACACTTTCTTGGCTGCCGTCACTGCTGCCTCC